AAGGAGGGGAAGCAGGAAATAGTGTGGAAGCATATGCCTTTGATCCAGGTAAAACAAATATGGAATGGCAAGGGTACTCCACACACTCCAGCAAGGAAAACAGAAGCTCTAAACTGAAGGTTCTTAAACTTACCTTCTTATTTGAAATAAACTGGAGAGTTTTTAAAATTTCTGATATTAATAACAACTGGAGTGATAGCACAGCAGGTAGGGTGTTTGCCTTGCACGCGCCGACACGGGTTTGATTCCTGTCTTTCTCAGAGAGCCTGACAAGCTACTGAGAGTATCCCGCCCACACAGCAGAGCCTGGCAAGCTCCCTGTGGTGTATTCAATATGTCAAAAACAGTAACAACAAGCCTCACAGTGGAGAAATTACTGTTGCCTGTTCGAGCAAATCGATGAACAACGGGATAACAGTGACAGTGCTACAGTGCTACTAATAATTTGGTTGAGGGTGAGACCACCACCAAGGTCATTACATTAGCTAAATTTCTAAGGGTGAGACACAGGCTTCCATTTTTGTAAATCTGTTTAGGAAATTCTAATTTGCAGTCAACTTTGAAAAACATTGCTTTTGCCCCCCCCAACTGTTACCGCCTACAAGCTCATGTTGTGATTTCCGCCCCCACACACACAGTTACACAATTTTCACCTGCAGCTACTAAAGAAAACATGGTCCCACAGTGGGCCATATAGGCCCCATGTGAGAAATGCAAAATGCTGCTCTAGATTGTATTCACTTCCTTGAACAATCAGGACTGGTACCGGCTTTATGAAGTGCATGCTGATGACCAAAGTTTGAAATTTCATATCTGGGACCCCGGATAAAAGGAATGTCAATAGTACATAGGAAAAATTAGCCTCATTGCCCAGTAGATTTATGAGAGTAGCTAGACCCTTCCACACTCCACCCCACCCTGCAGGCACAGATACCTCAAATGCGGGTCTAAATCAAGAGATTCAAATAATAATAATAATAATAATAATAATAATAACAATGTGATCTGATCACATTATACCAGAGTCATTGTTATGTAAAACGTAGCTCAACTCTCTAAATTGTTAATTAAAATATTAAAAAAGTTAATTTCTTTTTTTCCTGGCTTTTTTGGTCACACCCAGAAATGCTCAGTGCTCTGCACTCAGGGATTACTCCTGGTGGTGCTCAGGGAAACATAGGGGATGCCAAGGATCAAACCCAGGTTGGCACATGAAAGGCAAAGGCCTACCCACTGTACTATCACTCTATTCCCAAAAGTTAACTCCTTGAACTTTCATTTTCAACTCTCTAGAGATAAAAAATCTCTTCAATAAATATTAACCACATTTTACATTTTTTTTTACTTATGCTGTAAAACAAAATGGTTCCAAAACCTGTAGCTTAAGACAAACACTATGTATTTCTCAGAATTCGTTGACTTCTCATAAGTGAGTATTTACTTTCCAAGTGATAATGTCTATCTATAGATTCAGTCTTGTTGGGCTCATCTGAGCTGGTACCTCTAAAATAATTAATTAACATGTCTGATACATTGGCAAAAGCATTGGATGGGTAGGTTTATTTAGAATTGATGGGCATCTCACCTATTATTCCAATTCCCTTTCATCTCTACAAGTCCCTATTATGTCTATCTTTGTACAAGTTGATTCATGTTTATGTAATAGTTTAGTGAGACTTTCTAGGTGGTTCACTAAGGTGTCTAAAAAGTACAAAATTAGACACATACCTTAAGGATTAGACATGACTAGCACAGCTGAATCACAATGGTGTTCTGTTGGTTAGAAAAAGTTATTTTTATATTTTCAACAAACTTATAAGGAACTTGGGAAAAAGAAAAGTGAAATGTAAGTTATTTCAAGCTTGGCCACATATATTTACACACACACACACACACACACACACACACACACACACATATATATTAATGCTTTGGTTTCCTCATGTACAAAATATAGTGAAAAAAACTCTGTTTTGACAGTGACTGTCACTGTCACTGTCCTCCCGTTGTTCATCGATTTGCTTGAGCGGGCCCATTAACGTCTCCATTGGAGACTGTGTTGTTACTGTGTTTGGCATATCGAATACATCACGGGTAGCTTGCCAGGCTCTGCCGTGCAGGCGAGATACTCTCGGTAGCTTTCCAAGCTCTCCGAGAGGGGCGGAAGAATCGAACTCGGGTCGACCATGTTGGCTGCGTGCAAGGCAAACAAACGCCCTACTGCTAAATCTCTAACTGATAGAATTACTATGAGGAATAAAGAATTGGCATAATGCCGAAAGAATAGCAATAGTAAGATAAATACTTATCTCGGATGCAGTCTTTAAATATTATATTAGGGAGAATATATGGATAGAGCTTAAAAGAGTTGAGCCTATACTTGCCTATTTGAGGTCTTAATTCCATCTCTGACCCTACATGATTCCCAACTCAACCAGGATCTGGGCACTGGCAGCATCTTTATATGAACTCAACTGTCAGGTCCATGCCCCCAAGCCAAGAATTCCCATAAGTGTTCCCTCTTTTTTTGAAGGATGTTAGGGCATTTCCCATTTATAGCTCCATGTAAAAGGAGCTTAAAAGCTGTCATTCCATGTGAAATAAAACAAGTAAACAAAATAAGAAATTAATAACTTTTTGTTTTATTGGAAAAGTAAAGTTTCAGGGGAAAATGATGCCTATATTTCAATCAGAGACATTTGGATACAAAGATTTACAACTTCCTTGGACTTGAATCTCATAAGCAGAAACCTCTATAATCACAGTTCTAGTTCACTAAACCTCCATCAAGGAAAGTTAAAAACCCCTGCAATCATATTCCTCTGCAACCTAGTTGTAAACCTGGTCAACAAATGCTACTAATTTTAAATATGACCATTAGAGAGAAATTATGGCAATTTCATTCCTCTTAGAAATTGACAAATTCACAGATACTCTGTGAAATATATGTACAAATTTGTATATTATCAAGTTTAAATGATTATATAGTGTTCAAAAGGTAAAATACTGTTAAGTACAGCACTATATTAAGAGAAACCATTACCACTCCAATTAGTTTCAAAACATACATTATTTAAGGAGAAACAAGTATCATTTTCAGCAAAACCTTTCAATAGTTTTTACTGGTCTATACGCTCCTTATGAAATTATCAGATATTTTCATCACAATACACAAGTCATATGTAAAATGAAATTGTACATCAATTGTTCCTAACTTTTTCTATTAGAAACTTGATGGCAAAACATGAAGTGAATCTATAAGAGGTTGTAATTTATGAATATTTAAATACTAAAATATCTATTTTCCTTTATATTTTTCTGAAAACTAGCATTTTAATGCATTCAAAGGAAGAAAATAAACAATTGTCTGTATACATGAAAATGTTTTTAAAAAGAAGAAGCCCTAGGGAAATGTGGGGGCCTTAGAATATTAGTTCTCAGCTCTCTCGACTTCCACATCTGAAGTATTACTCAGAAACCACATGCTGAGTAATGAGGCTGAAACAGGAGAGGGTTTTACAGTCACTGAGAAAATCAGGGAGCTCACACTTAAGGAGGTTCTTTTTTTTTTTATGTAGGAGTACTGCTATTTATTCAGCCACTGATTAGGCTGATTGAATTGGGCATGAACTCCACTCTTTTTTCCTTTAAATTGATATGTAATAATATTCTAAATAGTTTTTAAAGAAATGCTATACTGTAGCAATTGACAGTAATTTCACATATATACTTATATTCTTCACCATTACTTATTCTTCCTATCTGAAGATTTTTAAGAGTACAGCTATATTATTGTTTTAATAAACTTATTTAAATAGATAATGAATTATAAATTTACTATATATGATACACATGCATAGTATCTCACATATACTAAAAATGATACAATTCACTATAACTGATGATCTATGCATGCAGTAAGATACTTTTTAAGTTTTAGTTATGGCAAATAAATAGAATTCAGAATACAGGGCTCCAGAATTGTCACAAAAGCTGTTATGATTCTACATATAAAATAAAATAATAAAAATATGAGAAAAGGGGCTGGAGTGATAGCACAGTGGGTAGGGAGTTTGCCTTGCATGCGGCAGACCCAGGTTCGATTCCCAGCATCCCATATGGTCCCCTGACCAGCGCCAGGAGTGATTCCTGAGCGCAAAGCCAGGAGTACCCCTGAGCATCGCCAGGTGTGACCCAAATAGAAAAAAAAATGAGAAAAATAATTTATCTGTAAATACAGAAACATATGAGTCAAGTGTTCATTAGAAATATCTAAGTTCATGACAATAACTTTTAGGTTCTTAAATATCTGTACTCCTCTTCGAATGAGGACAGATTTTTCTGAACCAATCAAACTGAACCAATCAAACTAGTATTTCTAATTTTGAGACTGAACTATCTTTCATAAATCTTTACTGAATTTTACACAGTGTCCCAACATCTATGAAATGATCTCAAAACTAGAGGGGCAAGGGCTCACTTTCTAGGAACAGTAAGGACACAGAAGACAGAAGTGCGTAGAGAAGACCCAAGTATAGAGTGCAGACTGCAGTCTCTGGAACTGGGTTTGGGGGATGAGAATCTGAAATGATGCAGAGGCGGATTAAAACTCAAGTGGCCCTTGGGTTCTGCTTGTGGTAGGTAACACATCGGTTACAGGGGACAACTTCGAGTCGAAGTTGGACGCCAGTTTTGCTCTTCCTTTTTAGAAGGCCGATTCTACAATTTTATCGCCCTACGTGGAAAAACACTCACCAGGTCAACCAAGCCCTAAGGCTTTAACATGAGCTGGGAACAAGCGACAAAGACCCAGCACAGCTGAACAAATAACTAAGGGCCATCAGCGCCCTTAGGGCGTTGCTAAGGAAACAGGTTCAAACTCTGGGCTGACTCCTTGAGGGTTTTCCCACGGCTGGTCACAGCGCCTTGGGGCGTGGCTACGTGAGTGACGCACGCAAGGGGCGGGACGGGGGCGGGGCCGGGCGCGGCCAGGCCGGGCGCATGCGTGCTGTGCAGCACGGGCGGGCTGAAGGGGCGGTGTCTGGTGGGCTCTAGGAAGTGAGGGCTATGGCCTCGTCTCGGGTCTCTTCTGACATTGCTCTCCAAGAAGCCACTCAGCGAAAGTTGCGGAGGTTCTCTGAGCTGAGAGGTACCCAAGGAGGAATGATGGCTCTTCCGTGCAGTGGCGACGCAGGGCGCGTTAGTTCCCGGCAAATTTCCGGATGGTCGCTTCCTGCCTGCTTGTCACTTGCAAGGCTGGGACACACCTGGCTAGCAATCGCTTGGGACTTTTTTATGTTGTCGCTGACCTTTTTATGTGTTATGTTTGTTACTTTAACTTTATTCCCTAGTTCCTAGTAGTATATACAATAAGCTTATCAATTTTATGGGGATAGAAGAAGAATGAAGATAATTATCCAGGGTAGTGAAACTAAATCCAGGTCATGCGTTTGCTTAACTTTTGATTTAAAAGTTATTTTAAATTCATCCAAAGCTTGGGATCTTGCAGATAGATCTGACCTGAGCCTTCTGCCACCCTCGCACCCCCCCTCCCCCAACCACCACCACTTCACCGGTTTTGTAATGTGGATGCTTATTGAGGAAAATGACAAAACGAAACACAAATCTTGGATTTAAAAAATAGGGAAGTTTGCATCAAAATTTGTTTTGTGTATACAGTACTGTTGTCGTTCTCTCTATAGCTATCAGAACTGGGAATATTTTTAATGAAGTTGCTTTTTGCTGCTTTTTTTTTTGTAAGTGGGAATAACACTTATACAACAGTACAGTCAGTATTCAGTACTGTCAAATTGTAACCTAAAAGTCCTGTTTATGAAACTTTTTATATTACTACTTCATCAACAAAGAACTTTAAACTGTCTACCAATAGTTGTTTTCTTTTTTCATTGAAGTCATCTAGGAATTGTGACCTTCCCTGATAACCAGAATTTTTTGTTCTACTCCAGTAGCATTTTGGTAATAAGCTCATATGATGCTAATAAGAAATGAAGTACCCATATTTATAAACAGCAACATTGTAAGAATGAATCTTTCGGTTCATTTTTTTCCCAACCAACAAAGATGATCCTGATAGATTTTATTTTTAAATAAAGTTTTATTTAGTCCCTTTTGTATCTTAAGAAATCATATAGTAATTGACTTAAGTACTTCTCTAAAATCAAGAAACGTCTAATTTTTTAAAATTATCTAAATGAAAGTATAGAACACAAAAGGAACAAATAAAAAGATGTCTAATAGACATATTTTTAAACCTTTTCCAGTACTGTTTTAAGTTGTGTTAACTAGCCGTTAGTTATTCTCTAATTCTCAAAGGAAATAGATGCATTTTAAAAAAGATAACTATAAACTTTTTATCCTGTTTTCAAATAGGTAAAATTATATTAGCTCTAGAATTTTAATCATCGTTGTCACTTCTTTCTTTTTCCACCTAGGCAAACCTGTAGCAGCTGGAGAATTCTGGGATATTGTTGTAATCACAGCAGCTGATGAAAAACAGGAACTTGCTTATAAGCAACAGTTGTCAGAAAAGCTGAAAAAAAAGGAGTTACCCCTTGGAGTTCATTACCATGTTTTTGTTGATCCTGCTGGAGCCAAAATTGGTAAGCTTTTATAATCAAATGTGTAGCAGAGATTCTTGGCAAAATATTCGCTAAGGAAAATTTTCCTGTGGTTTATAATTCATCAAGTATATATCTTTAACAAAAAATTCTAACTTGCTTGTCAGGTCTGAGAGATAGGATAGGAGTTAAGGCATTTGCCTTACATGTGGTCAACCCCATTTCAAATCCTGGTACCTCATATTGTCCTCTGAACACCACCAGAAGTGATGTTCTCAAACCCAGAGCCAGGAGCAAGTCCTGAGCACTGCAGGGTATAGACCAAAATAATTTGTTGTTTTTTCACGAAATACAGCAACTGTTTTTTGACATATCTTATGACATATCAAAACCTCCCGAATTTTAAAAAGAATTTGATTCATTTGCTGAAATTTTATTTAGATGGGGAATGTTCATTCGGATCTTATCAGTAGAAATCTTTATGGTTTCTTCCCACTCCTCACTCCACTTCTTCAGAAATATACATAAATAAAGCAAATTAGAGAGAAAAATATACACATATACAAGTGGACCCACATTATAGAATGCAAAAAAGCAATCTAATGTCATATACATATTAGCTTTAAAATTCAGTTTAGGTCAATTTGCATTTTGACTTTCATTGCAAATAAAAGTATATACTATTTCTCTAAGATTATTTTCCATGTAGTACATAAAACTGAAGCTTCTCGATACCAAAGGTAGGCTATCTCTACGTTAGACTTTGACATTGTTCTAAGTAGGCAATGTTTTTGTTTCAGGTATTTTTTTTTATTTTATTTTCAGATTGATTGGGTACTGGGTGTGTGAGTTCAATCTAAAACTCCCTTTCTCCCAGACGAAACTCTGCACCTCAGAAATCACTTCTCAGTAGCTCTCTGTTGCTCTACGTCTGAGTTGGTTTCTTGGTAAGGGTGTCCCAGTCTCCAGTCCATCTGGTAGCTTCCTTCTAGTTCATTTGTCAGGGTTTCACATACATTTCTACAGATCTTGCAATGAGCACATAAGGATACAAGTACAGGTTCTGTCAATTCAGCCATCCTCATTCCCTATTCAGTGGCATCATTTTAGTGGATTTTATAAGCATTGTAGCACTGTCCTCCCGTTGTTCACCATTTGCTCAATCAGGTCCAGTAAAATCTCCATCGTGAGACTTGTTACTGTGTTTGGCATGTTGAATACATCTCGGGTAGCTTGCCAGTCTTTGCCGTGAGGGAGAGATACTCTCAGTAGCTTTCCGGGCTCTCTGAGAGGGGCGGAGGAATCGAACTCCGGTCATTGTTGTATGGACCACGTGCACAGCAAACGCGCTACCCACTGTGCTATCGCTCCTGCTCCTGGATTTTATAATTTATAATTATAATTTTTTAATTTATGATTCCAGTTTTGTGTATACACTTGTATGCTGGTGCTGAACTTACTTAATTTATCATTTTTTTACTACTATTATCAATAGATTAGATCATTAACTACTAAAGGCTGATTTCTAGTTTCCTTACAATTTTTTAATTGCTATGAGTTATTGATCCTCAATTATAACAGTTAAACTTACCATAATTTTAAAGTTTTAGTAGGTTTCAATGAACTAAATTTTATGTTTTGACTTTTTTTTTAAGGAAATGGAGGATCAACACTTAGTGCCCTTCGATGTTTGGAAAAGTTATATGGAGATAAATGGGATTCTTTTATTATACTGTTAATTCACTCTGGTAAAGTTACACTTTATTAATTTACATTTTCTTTTAAGTAGATCTGTATTCTCTCTTGTACGTCCTTTTGTTTATTTGAAGATTTTCAGCTTTGAAAGAAATATTTCATGCTTTCTTGGTTTTTGTTGATATTGTAAGAACCATGTTTTTCACAAATTTTATCTTTAAACTTGTAGACCACATGCATTTTATGGATATAATTTTAATTATTTACATAGGAAATTTCTTTCCTATAACACAAGTCATCAAAATATTATCATTTCACTACATCTTAGAAGAGATTCTTGTTGTAGAGAATGTTGGTTAGCACTGTAATTATGAGAATTTTGCCCAATATTGCTCCCAGAAGTCTTCAATTCTTAAAATAATTAAAAAAATGAAAAGATGATAACAGACATGGTATTGATGGCACTGCATATAAGATGAAAAGTCACAAAAGAGAACTTTTCAGTTAAAAGAAAGTAGAAAAGACATTGTCTCAGATAAAGGTATTTTTTTAATTGGATATATTAAATCATGAAAATTGTTTTAAATTAAAATTTAGTTTAAAAAAAATTTCTTTTCAGGACCGGAGTTATGTACAGTGGGTAGGGCATTTGCCTTGCACGCGACCGACCCAGTGTCGATCCCCGGCATCCCATATGGTCCCCAAGCACTGCCAGGAGTAATTCCTGAGTGCATGAGCCAGGAGTAACTCCTGAGAATTGCTGAGTGTGACCCAAAAAAGCAAAAAAAAAGAAAAATTCTTTTCTCTTTTATTGCAGTTTTCTGTGTCATTATCATAGATATGATGATACAGGTGTTACAAATACAGGTTGTGGTGCCCACTGAGGATTATAATAAACATTTTTTATGTTTTTAAACATTTATTATTTCTCTCTGTAGGATATGGCTGTTAGAAATTTTATTATGAACCAGCACACTCTTCAGTGAGATATTTTATAATTAATCATCTACATAATTTCCAAGGCAGTTTCTATTTCTTATGGTTCATATGTAAGAGCCATGATTCATTATAAAGGTGATATAGAGCATCAAATTCTGAATTTAAGACAAAAATGAAAATATTTAAATGCATACCTTTATTCCAGAACACGTCTTACTCATTTTCTCAGTTCAATAAAAATTACAGGTTAGAAAATACAGTTAAAAATAGGTCATTAAAAAAATTATTGAATAAACACAGCTGTTTCAAATGTACAGTATTAGACTTTGACACCTACATAAACTACATCTTAATCACAACCAAAAATCTTGTTTCCATGTACTGGTACATAATTTACTTGAGTCCTTTAACCTGCTCTCACTCCTTACATTTTGGTAACCACCAGTTTGTTCTCTGTTTCAAAGAGTTAAGTTTTATTTGTGTATTTGAGTTCATTATTTTCCACATGTAAGTGAAATCATACAGTATTTATTTTTATGTGACTTAAGAAAAATGTTATTATTAGGGCAATAAAAGTTTACAGTCATCTAGCTCTTAGTAAAGAGAGAGTATTAGCTCTCATTTTTTAACAAAAATGTACTCTGTACCAAGTGCTTTACATATATTAGTGATCTCATTAAATATGATAAAACAAATATTATTTGACATAGCTGACTTGGGAAAACTCCAAAGATAAGTGGTTTAAAAATTGTGGATTACAGCTTAAACATATTTTATCTTGTCTTTTTACTATGTAATGCTCTTAGTATAATTAGTTACACCAAAATTATGTAAGTTATTTAATGTAATTAAAGATAACACATTGCAAGGAATTAAGAAGTCATAATATCATCTTAAGAAAAAAATCCTTTCAAAGTTAAAAATACATAAATTTTAGTTTAGATAAATATTTTTAAAATCCTTTTGATAAATGTGTCCTTTTAAGTTTATATGATTATTTAACAGATGACTTCTCATCTGGAAATTATTGTTTAATAATTACATATTGAAATGGGTATGCTAGTATTTTTGTGGCCCTTTTTCTTTTTCTGTGAGTTGATTTACAGTGTATTTTGTTCAACTGTTAAACTGTTGTTGAAATTTGTTATTTTTAAATTGTAGAAATAGGGGTCCCAGGAAGGTGGTTCAGTGGATTAAGACACTATCCCCAAAAGTGCAAGGTCTATGAGTTTAACTACACTGAGCCCTATAAGAGCTGAGGTGATGCCAATAACTATTAGGATTCCCCAACAAGAAAGGGCCTGGAAGATGGCTCAGTAGAAAACACTTAGGGCTAATATTAGGTCCTGAGTATAATATCATTGCTGCTCATCTGTAGAGGTAATTCTGAATGCTCCTAGATTTGGGATCCCCTGCAAGAGAGGCATAAGATCATTTTTGTGGTTTGGGTCATTTTTAAGATAATATTTTAACCCATGCTTTTTTTTTTTGAACCCATGCTTTGTTTACTTGTTATCTCTGATTACTATTTTATTTAAAATAATTCATGGACTCTAAAATTTATTAAAATTATTTCCTACTCATGAATCTTTAAAACTGATTTATATTAAATGACTGCTTTTGAATTATATTACATTATACATATTATAAAGAATTGCTTTTGAAATTTTTTGTTTTGTTTTGAATTTTTGCACCACATCCATTGATGCTCAGAATTTTCTCCTGGCTTTGTGCTAAGGGATTACTCCTGGGCAGTTTGGGGGACCATATGTGCTACTAGGGATTGAACCCAGGTTAGCCACAAGCAAGGCAATCACAATACCTGCTTTACTACTGCTCCAGCATTGCTCTTGAAATTTATAATCTGTCATTGATTATCCTTTCCTGAGTTATAGCAATTCATTGTATTTTTTTAATTAGCAATATTTTAGGTTGTAACTGATGTGCTATGTTTTAAAAAGTTTTATGTTTTAAATGATGTTATAAACAAATTTTCTGTTATTGATTAATTTGACAGGTGGCTACAGTCAACGCCTTCCAAATGCCAGTGCACTGGGAAAAATTTTTACTGCTTTACCTTTTGGTAACCCCATTTATCAGATGTTAGAATTAAAACTAGCCATGTACATTGATTTCCCCTCACATATGAATCCTGGAATTCTGGTCACATGTGCTGATGATATTGAACTTTATAGTATTGAAGATTCTGAGTTTATTAGATTTGACAAACCTGGGTTTACTGCTTTAGCTCATCCTTCTAGTTTGAAGGTAGGTACTACACATGGAGTATTTGTCTTCGAACCTTTCGATTACTTAGAATCCAAGGACCTTGAATACAGGTGTTGTCATCGTTTCCTTCATAAGCCCAGCATAGAAAAAATGCATCAGTTTGGTGCTGTGTGTAGATCAAGAAATTTTTCTCAACAGCACTTTGCTGGGAGTGACAGTACCTCTCTTAAATTAGATCCCGAGTATGTCTATACTGACAGCCTTTTTTATATGGATCATAAATCAGCAAAAAAGTTGCTTTCTTTTTATGAAAAAATAGGCACACTGAACTGTGAAATAGATGCCTATGGAGACTTTCTTCAGGCTTTGGGGCCTGGAGCAACTGTGGAGTATACCAGCAATACGTCTAATGTCACAAAAGAAGATCCAGAGTTGGTCATCATGAGACAGAGAATATTTCACCTTCTAAAAGGAACATCTCTAAATGTTGTTGTTCTTAATAATTCCAAGTTTTATCACATTGGAACAACTGAAGAATATTTGTTTCATTTTACTTCAGATGTCAATTTGAAGCTAGAACTTGGCTTACAGTCCATAGCTTTCAGCATCTGTCCAGCAATACCAAAATGCTCTGATAACACATCCTGTATCATTCAAAGTATACTGGATTCAAGATGTTCAGTGGCATCAGGCTCAGTTGTAGAATATTCCAGATTGGGTCCTGGTGTTTCAGTTGGGGAAAACTGCATTATTAGTGGCTGTAATATCATAACAACTGCTCTTTTGCCTGCAAATTCTTTTGTGTGTTCTTTAAGCTTGAAGATGAATGAACACTTAACATATTCGACCATGGCATTCGGAGTGCAAGACAATTTAAAAAAGGTTGTTCAAACCTTGTCAGATATAAAGTTACTTAAATTATTTGGAGTCTGCTTTCTGTCATGCTTAGATAGCTGGAATCTGAGAGTTACAGAGGAACTGTTTTCTGGGAACAAGACATGTTTGAGTTTGTGGACTGCTCGCATTTTCCCAGTTTGTTCTTCTTTGAGTGATTCAGTCACAGCATCCCTGAAGATGCTAAATGCTGTAAAGAACAAGTCAACATTTAGCCTAACTAACTATAAGCTGTTATCCATTCAAGAAATGCTTGTCTACAAAGATGTGGAAGACATGATAGCTTACAGGGAACAAATTTATCTAGAAATTACTTCAAACAGGAAAAACAGTTAATTTAGAGATAGCTTAAATATGATATTATTTCTATTTTTGATAAGAAGATTACAGATACAAGAATATTTGTGGGGAATGGTGTTTAATTAAAGTAAATTAAAATAATTGTAGCATAATATTAATATAAAAATATTTTTTAATTTCTTTTATTCAGTCAATGTGAGATAAATAAAGTTGTCCATGATTGGGTTTCAGTCATACAATGTTCCAACACCCTTCCCTTCACCAGTGTGCATTTCCCACCACCAATGTCCCCAGTTGCCCTCCTTTCACCTCCTACCATCAATCAGTCTGCCTTTACAGCAGTTATTATCATTATAAAATTAATGATAACTATTTTTTAAGAATTAATATGAAGACTGTAAGATCAGAAATGGGATTTATTTATGTATATTGCTATTTAATTTTTTAGACATAAATTTGTGAAACATTGTTTTATTCCCATAGATACATATGGTAATTATTCCATAGATACATATGGTAATTATCCCATAGATACATATGGTAATTATCTAAGCATATAGATAGTAGTTTTCTCTCTTAGTTAGGGCTTTAGTTACGATGTTCTCTGACACCTGCTCCAATCAAACTAATAAAAATGTCATGCTATAGTATCTTCAGAATTCTAGGAATAATGTACATACTCTCTTTCAAAGGCAAATCTATAACTGTAATCTGTAATAGTTCTGAATATTCATGATAAAATTTTGTTTATTGGCCTTATGAAAATGAGGAATGCCATTTCATTCTTATAAACTTAAACTTAAATTGTATACCTTAAGATTGTTCACAGTGTAAAGAAGATTGTGGATTCACTGATAATTATACAAGATTCACTGGTAATCATATAATTTCATTTTGAACATTACATACATCTTTTCATTAATCCCTTCAACAAAATTGTTAAATTACCAGATGAACCGATTTTTCTCTCTGTTGTGTATTTTTTGTCCATGTACTGGTGATATGTTGAGAAACTAATTTACCAGAAATACCAAGAAAATACACAGATAGTTTACAATTTCAAAAAAATTGGTTGGAATAACTCAGTTATATGTTATTATTTTGGTATAAGCATGTTTATAGAATGTCTTTATATGAGACTATAACACTGAACATATTTGCCAGAATTTTGTATGATTTGAATAAAAAACTGAATGTGAATAAATTGAAATAAGAATTGGCCACACAATTGCATGCTAACATGAAAGTAATTATTTACTAAACCAGGAGTAACTTGTCTGAAAACTTAATGAACAGTATTGTAATCCCAGGGCTTAAAAAAAATATTTGGAAGGTGGTATATATCTGAATCAAAAACTAAATTATTCTTTATGCCATTTTCTGTTTTAGTATAAATCCTTTATTTCTCAAAGTTTGTCTTGGGAATGTCAATTTTACTCAGGTAAAGAACTTAATGTTTCTTACTTATATTTATTGAAATTTTATGTTAACATTCTTTTTACTGAACTTTTCTGTTGTTATTGCACCCCCATCTCCCATTCAATATGAGTGTGCTTGATACTATGCAATAGTTTTATTCATGCTTCCATTTGCATGTACAAAAATATTGATTACTTTTTAAATATGGGGAAAATTACAGCAGTCTCCCATAAGAATAAACTTACCCTATTTCTAGCAGAGCTCTATGAGCAGCAGCAAACCAGACTTGCCATGTATTTCAAGTTTGTTGATTAATTGATTATAGTAGATAACAATTTGAGTCAGTTTAAATATTGGAATAAGGAGATAATAAAAGTTGCCAATTCCTTGTTGCATATGTATTTGTAAAAACAGGAGATGAAATGTGTATGTGTCTATGAATTAGTCACTTTTCATTCACCTATAGTGCAGTGTAGCAATTGGCATTTGTTTCTGAAGATTTCATCCCAAAGGCACTATATTATTCATGCAAGTAAATATTTGAAATCAACAAACTTAATGTTACCTTCTGGGATGGTTAGACAAATAGTTTTGCCTTTTCAACCACTGACTGCTAGAATTTAGTAGCCTTTTAAAGTATAGAATTCATCCTTTCAAACAAAGCAAATCTCTGGTTGCTACACAGTAGTGCAATCCATCTGCTGCTGTCATTTCCCAGCTTTCTGTGTCAGAATTTTATTTCTTCTGTTGTGCTTCAGGGTATCACTGAAACAGTCTAAGATATAATGTCTATATTCTTTGGACATGTTTTAGGTATGTTACTGATCTACTTTTGTTCAGCACCCTTAAAGAGTTTTTTTAATTTTGCAACAACCAATTTTCTGTAACTCAGTAATAAAGATTTTCTGGTTTGGGGCGTTCACACTCATTGATCCTCAGGGATTACTCATAGCTATGTGCTCAGGGATCACTCCTAGTAGTGCTGTGGGTGGGGCGGGGGGGAACATATATGTTGCAAGGGACTGAATTCAAGTCTGCATCATGCAAGTTGAGCACCTCACCCACTGCACTATCTTTTTCTGCCCTGTGAATGATTTTTCAAAATTTATTTTATTCACTAATAATCATTAATTCTGAAGAAAATTCTGATATTTAAAGTTAGATTTTTAGTTGGCATTTCATTGTAAGGGAGTATCACCTTGCCCAGAAAGAAATGAAAACATCTACATTTTGAGGCAAAAATCTTTTTAAATACAACTCTGTAGAAATCAAGTGTTTATTTCATTTGCAGGTTGAGCAATGTGGTACTACTCAATGAAACTTTACATGGTGGTTTCTTTCTGATTACTTTTAGCCTTCGAGTCTTAGAAAGTAAGTTATATCTACCAATCTGCTATTCTTCAGAGAAATTCTAACATTTTTAATAAAATCTGGAACTAGAAAACTTCTGCTACACAGCAAATAATTATGATCATAACAAGTGGTCTAAGTAAAGATTTAAAATGTACAGACACACTGACAAAGTAATAAATTGATTTAGAAAATTCACAGCTTACATGACACTTAGATCAATTTTTGATGAAACTAAAAATGAAATAATAATTATCACTCATTATAATTGGTTAAAGTTGATAGAGTTTGTAATTAACTATTATTCAGTCACATTAAAAGCTTTCTGAAAGCTAGGTTTTGAAAAAGGAAAAGGAACTTTTTGAGAAATCCACTTGTTATAGTTGCTGATGTTTAAATCATTAATTTAAAGTGAATTGAAGACTTCTAGATTAAACCAGAATCAATAAAATACATTCCAGAAAACATGGGGAGAACTCTCCAAGATACGAACCTCATAGCTTCAATTATTTTATTTGATTGTTAAAGATAAAAAACATTATACTACATAAAATTAAAAAGGTTTTACATCTCAAAATAAATATATTAAAATAGACACTAGTGAATAAGAGAAGTAGTCACATACTATAAGATAAAAGGCTATAATTCAAGGTATATAAGTCATTCACATACAAGTGGACAGACACCAAAGGGAACAGTTAGACAATATGCATCTGAAAAAGTTTTCAGTATCAATTGTTACCAGGAAGATACAAATTAAGATGAGGTATATCACCAGTGAGAATGGCGTATATAAAAAACACTGGAAACAACTATGTTGATGGGGATGTGGTAAAAAAAGGATTCTCATTCACTGCTGATGGGGATGTCATCTCGTTCAGTCCTTAAGAAAAGTATGGTGATTAAAAAAAAAAAACTGAAAAGAACTTTGACAAAAGCCCGTGAGTCTAACTTTACCAAGATACAAAAAAAAAAATTTAAAAAGTTGTATGCGCAGCTATATTTATTGATGTAGCTCGAATAGAGAATAAGTCCAGACATTCAGGGATGAATGAATGAGTGAATGAATGAAAAAGCTTTGGCATGCATATATATATATATATATAGCTCTGGAGAGAGAGAGGGACTGGAACGATAGCACAGCGGTAGGACATTTGCCTTGCACGCAGCCAACATGGCCGACCTGAGTTCTATTCCTCCGCCCCTCTTGGAGAGCCTAGTAAGCTACCGAGAGTATCTTGCCCGCACAGCAGAGCCTGGCAAGCTACCCGTGATGTATTTGATATGCCAAACACAGTTACAACAAAAGTCTCCAATGGAGACGTTACTGGGCCCACTTGAGCAAATCGATGAACAACAGAAGGACAGTGATGACAGTGATATATATATATATATGTGTGTGTGTGTGTGTGTGTGTGTGTGTGTGTGTGTGTGTATAGCTAAACAGCTGTTTTAAAAAAATCAAACAATTTTGCAACTGTAACTTGGATAGAACTGCAAGTAAGGCATAATGTTAAGCAAAATAAGTCTGTGAGATAAGAGAAATAATGGCTATTCTCACTCCTCTCTTTTATACAGAGAAACAAACAAGGGAATAGATAGCAACAAAAAATGTCAAACCCCAGCCTTAGGTTACAAAATTTACATTATCAAATGGGACTTGAGAGAGAGTGGGAGGGAATGAAGAAGTGAACTGAGTAATATTAAGAACACCAGAGCCATTACAATAATACAGCGGCTAAGGGTGTCTTGCACACATCAGACCTGGATTTGATTCCAACACCCCTGACGGGCCAGGAGTGATCCCTTAGCACAGTCAGGTGTGGCCCCAAAACACAGAAAAACAATAAGAACACTGGTGGAGAGTATAGAGCACTGGTAGCACTAAAATGTGGCAACTGTGTTTCAAGACCATAAACATTTAGCTCCATTTTACCTTGAATCTATAGCACAGGGGGTAGGGTAGGCCTTGCACACCACTGACCCCAGTTTAATTCCTCTGCCCCTCTCTGAGAGCTACCAAGAGTATCTCCCCTGCATAGCAAAGCCTGGCAAGCTATCCATGACATATTCGATATGCCAAACACAGTAACAAGTCTCATAATGTTACTGGTGCCTGCTCCAGCAAATCAATGAACAATGGGAGGACAGTGCTACAGTTACCTTGGATCAAGCAATAGTAAAGAAATGTTGATGTTAGAATACAAAAGAAATCTTTGCATAATTTTAGTAGAGAAGCATTGTAAAATTGTTCCTTAATTATATTATTTCTCTGTATCTCTAGATCACAAACAGGCTGCAATTTCCCAAAGCATAGGTATAAATAAGTAAAAACTCTTAACAATTATTTCATGGATAGTCTATGTTATGCTTCATTTACAATGGATATAGCTCTCTGCTACCCTCAAAATAATCCCAATGCTTTTTTTCCTAGATGTGAATAAGTATCTAAAATTTCTTAATTCTCCTTAGTTGAAACATATCTGATAGACTTCTCAATTTAGGGAAATTTTATCTTCACCCTGTCAATTCTTTTTCATCTAAATGTCCCAGTTATTCACCGAACTGCTGAAGTCATCCATGGGTTCTCACATGCTTCCCTCACCATTTTTTTTTTAATTTTATTGAATCACTGTGAGAAA